AAACCAAGACGTTCCCAACAAGGATACTGACAGCCAGTTAGTAACGAGCAACCAGAGATGCAGCCAGAGTCACAGGTAGCTGCCCCATTGCAGAAATGGAGAAATAAATTCCTGAATACCAGTTTTTCAGCACTGGGCTTCACACTGCAGAAGGCTATCTTTTCTTATCCATGAAATTGGGTATTCTCTATACGGGGCTGAATGAAAAAGACAACTGCCAATCAGGATTACCAAGGACTTGCCTGGATAGCTCATAAGCCAAGAAAATGAGAGACATGATTCAAATTCTCAGTTGAAGAGAGTAGTTTTATCTGTAACTATAGGCTTGGCAAAGAATTATCTGCAGGTTGGGATATACCAGCATTTGAATTTGGGCCAGAGCTTGCTTTTGGCTGGGCATATGGTTGGAGTGGCACTGAAATGGAAAACTGAGTTAGACTTGCATATCATATAACACGCTGTGTCAGAATTTGTTGAAATATCTCTGTTTAATATGCCTTGCTCTTATCTGAAAAGGAAATTTAAACTGTCAATATTATACTATCTCCCCTAATTTCTACTATGAAGACGAGATGCCATCTTTACCACAAAACATCTGAATATTGTTTCACTGCTTAGTAATCAAGTACATATAACAATGACAAAACCTAGCTAAAAGATTCCACAATCCAATTTCAACAAAATATAAAGCACACAGTAGCTCATTTCCCACTATGTCTTATTAAATAAACATATCTCCAGTCTAATTAAACAAACATATCTCCAATGCTGTACTTCTCCCTAGACAGATTTTTTTTTTTAACATATATTTCAGGCTATAAGACCAGCTATTTACTTCAGATCCTTTCCTTTATAATCTGTGTAAAATCAGTATTACAGGATTACTTCACAAAGCAGGTATGGACCAGACACCGATGAGAAATACAAGTACCCTTTTTAAAATTACTATTTGAACTTTGAGCTCCCAGGCTCAAAAACAGCTTTGGCCAAGCTATTGCACTGTATACATTACTTGTTAATATTCTGTCTCTCCCAAAAAAAACAGTCAATATTCTACTCTCTTTGAAAATAAAAGATCTGTTGGTTCTGTTCCTCAGTTCAGAACTAAGGTTCTCTAAGATTTAATCCATGTTGATAAAGAAATGAGCTATTTAAGAAGTCAGAACATGCTCAGTGACATTCTTTCACAGATCAGATTTTGAGTTTAATCTGCAATGAATCTTGAATATAAGGCTTCTAGTGTTCTATTTTTACCAAGTTTATCCTTCTGATATGAAATATACTTTCACACTTTTAGAAATTCAAGTTCCAATATTTATATTAGCAGGAATGTTTAGGGTAAAACTAGTTTTAAAAACACCAAGCTGTGAATCGATCACATTTAGACTCTTTATACCATTAAAAAAAATAAAAAGATAGCAACATACACTGTATTATTCCAACAGCTGAGAAAGAGAAACAAAATAATTTTTACTCTTATTAAAATGCATACAAAATTATTTCTATTAAAAACACTAGTTGGATTGCATCATCGTTCTCAAGGAAACATACAAAACCTTAATTTATGCTTATGCATATACATGAATGTTCCATTTGTCATTTAAGTCAATAGTGCAAATCACACGCTTAAAATTAAACACATGCATAAAAGTTTTTATGACATCCCTTACACAAGGGGAAAAAATGTTATATAATTATCCCTCCATATGCCCATTCTAGGCAAAAGCTGACACCAATGTAATCACTTCTCAAATACATTTAAGCAGAATCATGTTGTTCTACAGTAAAATGCAAACTCTAGACCAAATTTTTCCTGGCTTTATAGGTGCAAATACATTTATAGGTTCATTCTCTCAGTGGCTTTTATTATCTGCTGATTAATCCAAGGAAAGGTTATCTAAAACCTGTCTCCCCTAAAACTTAGTAGATAGACCAATTCAGGAGGCTATCTGCAACTGGACCACAGGCTGAAGTCATAGTGCACAGCATAAAAGTTGTATTTTCTTTTGATTTCTAATTTGTTCTTCACTTGTACAGCCTCTACACACATTTCTTTCTGTACAGTTTCTGCACATATTTCTTTTCTCATGACTGTTTCATTTCCCAGGAATTTCTCAGCTTCATCATACATTATTCACTTCTTCTACCCTTCTTATTCAGCACAAAGCAAATCTCAAGGAGGGAACTGTCACTGTCAAACTTTAACCAAAGTCCAAAGAAAAACAAATGAAACAGCCATGAACAACTTATTGCTCTTAGGGTACTTCAGCTAGATAGGTTCCTCCATCAGTGAGCTTTACCCACAGAAGACAAGAGATATTTTAATCCAGTATCCTCACATTGTTTTGTTTAGACCATCCTTCTACTCACAGTACTTCTCATCAAACTTAAATGATTTTTCATTCAGGGCTAAGCTGTGTCAGTAAAAGTTGAATTGGACTCTAACTGGCATAAAAAGAGAAGCACAACTCATCAATTTGGCTATGCTATGCCTTCCACATTCATTATTCTTTAATAAAATCACCAAAGACAGACAAGAGACAAGAGCATGATGTTGAAAAGTTTGTTCTAAAGTACTTACAGCCCAAAATTATTGTATTTATTGCTGATATCAAACTCCATCAATATTTAGTCACTGCAGATGCCAGTTATTTATTTACAGCAAAAGCCTGCTTTCTTAAATTAGTACCCATGCCTCAGCACCATAACATGCAACACTGGTAGCAGTATAATATTAAACATCCAAAAGACAAAACAGTCTGGGCAGCAAACTGGGGGGATTTTTCTTGTTTTTTCTTTTTTTAATTAAAAAAAAAAAAAAGACAACACATGACTATTTAAATATTATCTTTGAATTTGACTACCTCTCTCAATAAAAAGAGCACCATAGCACGAGGATTTCCAGAGATTTTTATGCCAGTGTTCTTGAAAAGCTTTTAGGATCAATGCAGTAATGTATGTCTGAAATAGCCAATCTGTTACAAGTGCTGGATATCCCTCTGGATAGCATCTTCTGTCTCTCAAGGCAATGTGCAATCTGATGAGCAATATTACTTAGGATATGCAAAAGAGATGCCAAGAGTTTACCAAAGACATTTGTGTCCTTAAAAGTCATCTCCACCAAGTTACAGCTGGACTCAGAATGCATCTGCTGACAAAATGCAAATAAAAAAGCTCACTTCATTTGAAAACCTACAAAGTACACGTACGGAGCACAGTAGTATCTTTCATACTATTATTTATTTTTTAAAAATTAATGTCAGAAGCAATTCTGTAAGACAGTCTTCTGCAACGATATCTCTAATAAAGGGACTTAAACATAATGCAAATATTCTGCATTTCTAGTGGCTTTCAAAAATATAACAGGAACCAAGAACTTTACTCAGTAACACTACCCCAACAACTCAAAGAACTATTATGTGTAGGTAAAGGGACAGGGTGGGGAGGAGCAGAAAGGTATTTTAGGCATTTGTTACACACACCTTTTAAATGTCTATTTCATTCAACTACTCTGGTGATCTGAATTGTACTTATTCTTCAATAAAAACTAATTTTAAAGTATCCTTGTATATGAAGATCACGTAAATACTTCTATCAGATTTCAACAGCAAGTAAAACCACCAGTCTAATCAAAAGGTTCTCAAAGCTAAATTACCTGAACTTTTTAGGAGTCTACATGAGACAGGTCTGTTTAAGGATCTGGACCTCTAAGGACTACTTTCCAAGCACACATTACACTTCACTGCAACATATGCTACTGAATGGGAAGAATTCAGAGTCCCACTTGGAAAAAGTGTTCTCATCCTCTTCTGCATTATTTAATTGATATTCTTGATGTTTCCCCCTCTGTATTTATTTTCAGAGTTACAGGGTGCTCTTTTTTTTCTTTTTTCTTTAATAACTTCGGTCAACAACACACAGAGCAATCTAGGAGTATCATGAAGCAATTTTTTTTGCTAGAGGGAACAAAGCGACGATAGGTGTTCCAAAACATGGCAAAGGTACGTGACTAAGAAAGGTGTGGTCTGCTTCAGCTAGTTACAACATTTAGACTTTCAGAGCCGAGGCAGCTGCAATGCTAGTGGCACAACCAGCATTCCTACTTCTTAAAAAGTGCTTAGCTCTGCCAGGCTGTAATGTGGTGTATAGAGTTGCCATCCCGTTTAATGTTTGACTCCAACTACTCTCAGGTGTCCACATCTAGAAATATTTATTAATCCACATCCTAGTTTTATTCCAAATAATATCTGCATAACAAATCTCCAGTAATTAAACTATACAAGAAACATAAAGGACAGAAATGTAATTACTGTAAAAAATTACACTAAAAATATCACACAGTTACACTGAAAACCATTGAGTATTTTATACAGACACATAATGGGTCTCCAGAGAAAATATTCACCCACTTGAGTACACAGTTGGTAAGCAAGCATTTAATTTTCTTAAGGGCTGCTGCTGTCATAATTCCACGAAAGTATCTACTATAAACTAAGAGGAAGAATAAAATCACTTTGAAATTCTACATAAAACTGCAATTGGTTTATGCCTTTTAGAAAAGTAACTCATATTCAATACAGCTAAGTACCGAGCACCACTACAGTTAAGAGAGTTGAGAATACCCAGAACTTTGCAGATCATAACCTAAGCTTTATAAGCAACTGTCTGCTTTTCATCACTTCGTTCTTTTAAAACTGCAGAGTACAGCAGGGTGGGTCATGTTAACCTAAACCTAAAGCCCAGAGGTGTTTCGTTGTGCAGACAGAACTGAAGCATTGCTTAAAGAAACAAGGGAAAAAAATTAGAGTTCAGTCAGCTGACCTTATCTTTGAAATCACAAAGAGAGCAATCGCTTTAGACCTTCACAACTTTAGCAACAAAAAAAGTTCTCAACATTGTGTGTATTACAATGGCATTCGTAATGCAACTTGATAAAGTGAGTTACAGCTTTCTCGCTCTTTTTATTTAATGTTTAACTATTAAAAAGTCATGACACAAACCTGGGTCCATGTGCCTAGAGTTTCTTCTAATTCCATTCGTTCGTTTCTGCATAGCAAAAATACAAATCAAGGATATGAATAAACATGTTTTCATGTAGGCACACTACACTCCTTTCATTCCCACAATCTACTAGGCAAAGCTGGTTTTCTTAAGTTATTTCCCCCAACCACCACCACAATTATCTTTATCTTGCACAAAGATCATACTTTGAAAAACATTCTTACTCACGTAGATAGCTTTTTCATATATCCTATGTTTTCTGACACTAGGCTCAAAATATTCTTAGTCAGGAAGAAGGTTTGTTCATACATCAACATCTTGTGATACCAAGAACAAATTTATTTTTTAATCATTTGTGAACAGAATAGTGGAAGAATATGCAGCTTGGCATTATCTGCCCTAGATAACGTCCACAAACACAAAAGTATCAAAGCTGTTTGTGCTGCTTTAATAAGGTAGAAATTTTCACTATTGCTACTTTGTATTAAGGTAGCTAGAATTTCCTATGGAATTCTTAATTTTCTTATTTCCTGGTCAAGTACTTAAATATATTTAGTAACATGCCTCCCTCCTTCTTTTAAATTTGGATGAAGCAGAGCTGTGTGAAATCAGAAGCTCTCTGACAAGACTGTGACTTTTTTTAAAAAAAAATTTAATGTATTTTAATGTATCCAAGAGACTTAACACGGATCCCTGAAAATTTCAACGTGAAATAATGCATATCTGCGAACTACTGATCTGCTTTTGCAAACTTGTTTTGACTGGTGGCTTGCACAAAGGTTCATGCATTTATTTATTTTTTAATCAAACCAAGCAGAGAAAAGCACATTGCATAACAAAGGGAACAATTAGGTTGCTCCGATTTACTTGCAGTTGATATAAGCTGATGCAGGACACACACCAAGGCAAGCCAGAAAGCAATAACCTGAGGCACAACCCAATTACTAAACCCTGTAGCAAGCTGGCAAAATGAAAAGCTTGGTTTAAAAACAGCTTTCAAACTCCTGAGTCTTTGGACATACTCTCGCTGTACCCCACAACTCGAACTAAAGAAAGGATTCAAGTTTTGTTTCAGCTGCTGTGGAAAGAAAAAAAATTTGAAACTGATGCTGGAATGAAGGTAATAATACTGAATAAGAACAGAAGGCTCAATTATATCCTAGTTATTTTTTTTTAATGGAGGCTGTATTGCTGATCAGGATTGATGCAGAGTGGTAAGTAACTGCAGATTTGCACAGGAGAGGAAAAGGGGCAGGAATGGGAAAAGCAAGCATGAAGGAAGATACAGGTATGTTTAATTGAAATGAAAAAAAAATATAATTCTGTGATAACTTAAGTCATATGCACCAAAGAACAGGATGGAAAACAATTATAGGAAATAATTCTTGAGCTGTATGAACACATGCTCAATACCCTTCAATATACTACAGTACTAGTATATTTTATTACATTACTAGTATGAAATCTAAAACTAAGTTTTCCAAAATGACAGATCCTCATCTATGCTCAAGTTTTCTTCTGCACAGAGAGAGTTAAAGCAAGCACTTAAACAAGAGTCTTGGTAAAAATAAAAGCAATCCTGACATTTTGGATCTACTCAGTAGTCGATAGCAAATTGATAGCTCCAGAAAGGAAGCCATTTTTTCCTTACAAAAAAGCTTTATAAATCAAGCTAGGGGGTGAGAAGCCAAGGAGCGGGAGGAATTTGATACGACCACTATACATATTTTCTTCATCCAACCACAGTATCTCCAGCACAGTCAGGTTTACCGAGTCTGACAGCATCATCCACAAGGCCCAGTAAGCAATCTGTTCACAGCTCCCCAGCACTGCCTGTCAGCTGCAGTACTGGGAGAGCATTAGTCAAAAGGACCATGCTGTAGTTTCCGTATTTTAGAGTGCCCTTACTTAGCAGGTATTTTTAGGTAGAGACCTAAAAAGCCAGGCAGCAGGTGGCAGAAGGCACGGCTGAGGGAGCAGCAAGGACAGCAGGCAGGCAGCAGCGTCTCGGGCACAGGCACGGTCTGTGGTAGTGCAGCCCTCTCCTCAGCCGGAGGCTCCTTCCCCTCTTCCCCTGCCAGGCCCCCAGGAAGCCAGTGCCCGCTGCCGCGGCCTCTGCCCACCTGAGGCCCACAGCCAAGGAGCTGCCAGAGGGTGCTGGGGCTCCCCTCACGGCCCCCAGCCCTGTCTGGGGTCACAGCAACACCATGACAGCTCACACGTTGGAGAGCACACATGTGGTCAGCCCTGCGCATGACCCCCCCACTCCAGCCATGTCAGCAGTAACAACCTTCCGATTCCATTACCCGTTCTAGTGATAGCATCAAACACATACATGCTGATGGAGAGAAGTAGCATACATGCTCGTACTTTGTTCATGACCAGTACGCCATTTAAACAGTTAAATTACCATAAACTTCTGATCTAAAATAGATGCTAAAAACTATTATACTCTACATCTAAAGTGCTGCCACTCTTTCGTCAGAACTGCCAGACAAAACCCAACTGCCATGCCCTTCTGTACTTCAGTGAAAATGCACCAGGAGCTGAAGGAAAAACAATCCGGGGTACCTTGCAGACTTCTCGGGCTGACAGCAAGGTACACTATGTGCACCAGAGTAGCCCCTCTGTACAGGGCCCATTTTAACATTCTTTCCAGATCATATAAACTCCATAACAACTAGATACCTCTGCAGATAAAGTCCTTTTATGTTTAGAGGCAAACACTGCCCTGCTGATCCTTTATCGCCCCACAGCCTGGCATGGCAGAGACTGGTAAACTAGCATGTTATTCCAGGAGGACATAGTAGCATATAAAAAAAAAAAAAAAAGATTACTTTAAACTCTACTGCCAGATTTGCTCTAGGAACAGAAGCGATCTAGATATCAGTTGTGAAGCAATGTAGTTTTTTACCTGTAACTTAAAAAAACACATCTTCACCCCTTCCAGTGCTCTTGGCATTAAGCCATACCAACTGAACATGGAATCACACTTTGAACAGAATACATTTATATTTAATAATGAATAGCTTGTTTAGGACAACTTATATTTTCCACCACTCTAAAGGAATCTGTTGTTAAACGCAGAATAACATACCTGCTCCAACAGCACATGCACAAAGTAAATAAGGAGCTCTCATGTCACTGACAAAACAAACATCACATGCAAAGGAAAACAAAACCTTACCTCATGTTTCAGGTTCCCGTGTTCTGAAACATAAGTAAAAATTGGCATTATTGGTGACTGTAAATCTTACGCTTTTTGTATAGTGATCTCAGCCTGTGCTGTGTTGCATTACAGAAAACACTGCTGCCTTCTTTCGCTACCTGATACCTGCAGCCTCCCCGGCAGCCGGGGCTGTGCCAGGTGCTGTTGTGCAAGCCCCACTGCACCCTCCGTCCCGCTCATTGGTCCCGCCGGCTGCACCGGGCCGCGGGAAGGGCTCCTTGCTGAGAGCCACACCAGCCTGGGCCGCTACACTTTATACGTTTTTAGAACATTTCAAAAATACTTCATAAATATTGACGCATCAGGGATTCAAAAGCCACAGTTTTTCATTGCAAGCCAAGTTTACACCTTTTCTTGCTTCTGTCTTTTCACTGCATGCCAGTGTATATCAAGGGAAGGTGTATACCTTTAGCTTCACAATTTTCTATATTTAGTGTCTTTAAGTTCAATTCAGCATTGCATTAGTACACCACAGACTCTGAAGCCACTGGTGTTTTATTTGCCTCTTTCTCTATTAATTTTCTTGTACTATTTAAAAATGAGGAAAAAAAAAAATTAAGTACTGTGGGTGATCAGAAATGCATCAAGACGGTAACATTTTTGCACGCACACACCATCACACATGACAAAAGACACAAAAGGATATGTTTTTACATTTTTCTTTGAATGTCTAAACTAATAACAGGTATACTCTAGATTTTGGTTCAGTGCCTTATCAAAGCATAAACAGCTGTATTTACCTGTGTTCACTCTCTAGCACTGCACACGCTGTTGAGGTAAAACACAAAATGCACATGCCTGGTCTGTACTTCATCACATTTGAAAACTTTCACTGTAATACCTTGTAAAGAGTAAGACATATTCACTGTAAACCAACTAAAAAGAATTACCTGCAAGTAGATTTTTTTGTTCTGCCAAAAAAAAATATCACATTAAATAGTAAAGTGTGGGAAAAAAAAATCTTTGGCTTTCTCGCATTGTATGCAAAGATGATAAGGCATGCCAAGACCAAGCACGCCAACTGAGGATTCTGGGCTGGGCTGGGCCGGGCCAGGGAGGCACAGCCTGTTTACCACAGGCAGAGCTCTCTTCTCACGTACACTTTCAGTCACAGTTTGCTCTCTCATACAGTGCACCAAAGATACATCATCTTGTCATCTGCAGAAAATACTTTTATGATTATAACCTTTCCAAAATTATTAATTTGCATTTGTATAGTGAGCAAAGAGAAGAAAAATAAGCCCACTCAAAGAAGGAGATATAGGTAGACTACTGAGGTTTTCTAAGGAGCCTGAGGAAATTATTTGCCTAAGTGTTGCTGAAATTCAATATAATTTTGGTATTTACTTTGGTATTACAATTTTATATGCCTTTCAGAATTTTTGCCAAAATCTGAATAAAATCACCTTTTTTTGAATGTTTCATCTGAGCATTATAAATGACTTCAAATGAAGGGAAGTCATTTAGGCAAATACTTGTGGTGGGGAGATAGGGGGGGCACAACTTCAAATCCAGGCTTAGGGTGTTTTTTGTCGTTTGGGTTTGGTTTTTTTAATAGCCCATATTTAGCTCTGTAAATCTCTTATCAAAAAAAAAAAAAAAAAAAGAAATAGAAAGTCATTCTATCCTCCAATGGTAGTTAATGTAATGGCTGCTGTTGTATATTATTTTTATGTCTAGGAAATATCCCAAACCCAACTAGATGAATTAATTGCACTTGGTGATTGCAGCATCCCAACATTTTTCATAATAAATAATTAAGAAACTCATTAATTAACTTTCAATAATTGGATTCAAGAAATCACTACACAGGAAGGTAATAAATACTCCTGATAATTTGCATAAAATAAATTTAATGAAAAGGAAGGTGGGGAGGGATTGGGGATTGGATTAAAAATAAAGCTCAAAACTTTACCAACACTGATGGGCCAAAATGCCACTTGTCATTTCACTGTTAACACTTCAGGAATAGAAAAACATCCGGTATCTCTATTTCCACAGAAAAGGCTATTAAAAAAATAAGATTTATGCTTATCTTGTTATTTCATTACAGTTTGAATATTCCTGTATTTCAGAATATTCTGTATTGAATTATGTGAATTGCCCCCTCATGAGAGATCTTTTTTCCAAATGTCACACAAGTATAAGAGCAAAAAAACCTCACTGCTATTTATTCCTATTTTTAGAAAAAGATGAATGTCTGAGGATATCCACCAGCAGATATTTTACACATGACAATTTGAATTCAAGTTCCTGCTCATCACCAACATGCCAATGAAATTATCAAGTGAGCGAGTTCTCAGTTCTGACAGCTAGTTACTTTTATTGCCATATTTCAGCACAGATTTTAGGTTTTTTGATTATTCACTGAGGCCATGATACCACTGGGTCACATTTTTATAATTATATTTTACTACAAAAGCAACAGGAGCAGAAGCTGGCCTCTATAAGTGAGGGAGCACAGATCACAAAATGGGAATAAACTGCTCCTCAGGGATGCAACAGAGCAGCTGGACTTACATGCTAACTAAATGGAGAGTAAATAAAAACGGTATGTAGTAAACTACTAACCTTCCTATTTTAAAAGAAAATTCAAAATATTTAAAATGCAAGAACAATAAAGTAAGTCACTTGGAAGAAGCTGTGGGACTACCTGCTCCTTTCCGGTCATTTGGCCAGTCATTGTGTAATCAGAACAAAACCAAATCATGACCTAGAAGTACTACAGAGTAGGACTCTGCACACACTATCAAGCCCCCTAAGTGACTTCTGTTCAGGTTGAGCAAGAACGTTAGTTAAACAACACAACTCAACCTTTGTTGCAGGTAAATAAAAAGCGGCACAACTCCAATGAACATTCTGAGATTTGAGCATTTACTTGTCAATTCTGTTGACAGCGTAGGGTTGGAGGAGAGCCGGCAATTTTGCAACTATTGATCAAGCCAGCAAAAAGGTAAACAGTGAAAGCTGCTGGTTTCTTTTTACATGTCAAAAACACATGCTTTTTATGAATAATCTCTAATGTGCTGTAGCAATAAATTATTACATAAACAGCATGGAGTATATTATTGGGCATATACATTACCATATGAAAGCAACTCTAAACTTAACCCATTCATACGGTAACATCTTTCAAGTTCACCACACAGTTCAAGAAACTTCTTTTCCACCTAAGGAAATATAGTACTTTTTCAAATGGAATTATCTAAAGGAGAAAGGAATCATGCGTAAGTTAACTAAAAATTACGATAAAAATGCCCAGTTAATGTTTTTCTAATCCATTTATGCCCTGATGAGAGATGCTTCAAACATTCCCTAGGAACAATGATATGAAGAAGAACATGTTGTGGGCTTGGCACCATATTTAAAATAATGAAAACATTTTCAGATACTAGAACCGTTACTGGAGTTCATTTAATTGAAATATTCAATAGTCTGTGGAACCAGCAAACATTTGTGTGTGAATACTTAATTCAATATGATTGGATGGACTTGGAAAAAGTCCAGTCTGGCAATAGAAACGGATTGTGAAGTCTGATGTTTTAGACTAGGAAACAGACTGGAGTTTTGCAGTATTTTCTGGGCAGACTGACACTGTTTTATCAATCCTGAAGACCTCTGCAGAAGTTGCAAGGGACACAGAAAAACCTGTACAATGAGAGTGGGAATAATGAGGGACACAGTCTACTACAGGTGTGTGTTACTCATGCTCACTTACCAAAGGTCCCACTCTTAATCATTTCCAAATATAAACCCTTCCAACTAGTGGGAGAGCATCACCAGATAAGTAAAATTGTCCTCTGCCTTGAAATGAGGCATAGGAATGCAGCTGAGAAGCCGGAAGAGGTAGAAAGGGGACACGTCCACATCAGACACCAAAGAAAAGAACACCACATATGTCCTTATAAATGGCCCTATCAGAGGAAAACGTGCATTCATCTTGTAATCCTTGTGTTTAAGGATTTTGTAAGGCCTTGTGTTTAAGACTGTACAATCAGACTTGAAGGAGTTCATCAGAACATTAGCCAACAAAAAAAGGGGATATGGAGGATTTCGAGTCACAGAAAAATTAAGCGATAGGGCATAAAAGTAAAATATATGAAAACGCAGAGGACTTCTTGAGCATGTACAGGGCCGCACTTCAGGGAAAAAAAAAAGAAGTTAAATCAATAATGACAGAAATGAACACAGAGACTTCAACCAGCACTGCTCATTTATGGCAACAAGAGCAGGAACAATAACAAACAAACAAACAAAAGGGCTAAATGCAGACATTTTAATCAGTTGAAATAATAAATAGAACAACGCTGCATCTTTTATCACTGCAACTTCTACAGTCAGTTGAACTGGCCTTCTTTGAAGCAAAACATCTGAAGAGCTGGCATATGTTTGTGTATAAGGCATAGCATGACAACACAGTAATTTATCTTCAGATTTTGTCAATTTTTCTCTCATAAGTGTATCATCTAAATCTGACACTTATTAAACTTGTCATTCTGAAGGTTTCATCTGTCTTTGGATGGCTGTCTTTTGAATTTTCACAAACTGTGACTTGGAAAGAAATACAAAAAGATTTCATCCACTCAGGGAGGTTCTAAGCATCATTTCAGAAAGGCTAGCAAAAACATCTGCTCAGTGGTCTAAAAAGAAAACAAAATCTCAGACTATACAAAAAAGGAAAATGCTGAGGAAAATTCAGATGTCTTTAAGAAACCTAATGGTATATTCTCGTTGCAGTGTTTCGAATTCTGATCACCCCTTTTCAAACAGACCTCTAGAAATAAAAGAAGTCTTCCAAATAGGAATGAAAATTCTTTGAGGCATAGAAAAAGTTCCACTTATAAAGAGATAGTTTTAAAAAGTTTAAGACTATTCAGTTCAGAGATTATGCTAATAAGAGGTCATGGGAAGTTATAAAATAATTTATCATATAGAAGCAGTTGGTCAAGACTTCCATTGACTCTTCTCACAAAAACCCACAAAGTCACATGTTAAATTAAGAAGATAAAAAGGTCAAACATAACCAGGATAAGATATGCAGCCTACAAAAAAAGACAACAAAAAAAAGCCAAGCAAATTTTACAGAACTCACTATTCCAAAATTTCTGAAACACAGTTAGATAATTCTGTCAATAAAAATAGAGAAGCTATGCGAAATCATTAACAAGATATAAAAATTCTTAGAACACAAAGAAGATAGAAAAGATAATTTAACAGGGTGAAGAAAGTAGCATCATTCCTAGGCATTGCCTACCACACAGAGGATTTTCACTTTCCTGTGAAGCATCTGGAATCAACCACTGGCAGAATGACTGAACACCAGATTAAACAGACCACACATATATCATGTGATATATATATATTCCATGTCTGTGGCCATAACTAATAGCACATGACTGGGGAATAATAATGTCCAGTGTCCTAAAATGATGACTGTTTCATGTCCATTATACCCTGTGAAAAAGGCTGCAATAGTCCCCTAGAAACAGAAGAAATACATAGCGATACAATAAATGTTCTAGGCATTTTGCTACTATTGAAGCATTCCGACTATGCTCCACAATTTCTTAGCTAATAGCGCTCTAGGCCACCTTTGCTAATTTCCCACAGGAGCAGAAAATGACACCACTAGAAAAATTAAATTTATCATAAATTAATTTCTCTAAAGATTTCAAAAGGGAAAGCTTCAAAATTAAAACTGTGTTATAATTTTGTGCATGCAGAGCATACTTTTTCCACAAAATGCAATGAAAATGTTGAATTTTACATGATATCTTTGTGTCTGCATTCCTTTAATAACATTTCGTAACTTAGCAGGCATGGCAGATAACTTATGGGAGACTTCATTTCTCAGCATAGCTCTGGAAAAGTGAAATCGGAGCTCTGGAAAATCGTTCATACTAAAGTTACACAAACCAATATTTAAAAGACTCTGAATTGTCCCATCCCTTTCTGGATCATTTAGGGAAGCAGGAACTGATAAAGCTCCTCCTTAAACCTTTCCTTACTCTGTGCACATTATGAATGGGCAGCACTGCTCAATCAACACTTCTTTTAAAAGGCAAATAAAGAGTAAAATGGAAAACAGTAAAGAAAAATCTCAACATTTCCCTTGCTACTCATTGGTCAAAGTCCCTCCTCAGGTGGAGAGAGGACACATTTTCAGCAAGGTGGGCAAAACCGTTCATCCGTTCCATATTCATTCATTTATAGAGCAAGGGGGAGCGTGGCAAGAACTGTAATTTAGAGTTTCCTTTTGCAGCTATGTAAGGAAGCCACAGCCTAGCACCTCCTGTCACGCTGCCTCATAAGTAGGTGGAAGATACACAACTCCTCTGGCTTATATTAGAGGTACAGCAATCTGGGAGCCTTTGCATAGAAGAAAAATAGACTGAAAATGGAAAGAGAAGTTTGAAGAGAGGACAGAGAACAGAATGCTTGGATATAAGCTAAACACATAACACAAAACAGTATTAACAAACCAGTTGCTTCCAATTTCACTAAAGAAAGCCTCAGTAGAGTATCATTCTACAAAAAACAGGGCAGTGATTTAAAGTAAAATCCAAAATAATATTATGCTTCCTTGAAGTTGTAAAATGATAATTTATTCCACTTACAAAGCAGTAGAGATTTGATTATGTTGTTTATTTCGTTCCCTCTAGCAAGTGCACAGCATTACTTAAGTATATATGCAGGATAACAGCAAGAAATCAGACCTTGCGTTATCTAGGCATTTATGGTCATTCTTACTGATACACGTTGCACCGTATGTGTCCACAGACCTTTACAGAGGAATAGAAAGACAAGATCCTGCCCCCCGGGGTCCAGCTATCCAATTAAAATAAAACCTATAAAAACAATTAAAACAGAAGGTGCAAAAGAAAGAAAAAAGTAGAAGTAGGGGCGGTTTATACCACAGAAGATAACTCTCTTGTGAAGAACTGTATATGTTTTTTCTACTCTATTAATTTAGTTGCCTTAAAATATTTAAATTTTAAGTATTTTTTTCTTTAGAATACCCATAGGAAGCTTTATGAAAAACCTGTTTTCCAAAAAATATTTCATTGAGAAATACTACAATTGACTGTATGTTTTTCAGATCTACAGAAGACTATTTTTAAAATGTCCAGACTTGGAAGACAGCATGGAAAACCTCCAATACAGGAAAGCAACTGAGAAAACAAAGTTCACTGACTGCAGCAGAAGTCAGTACGTGCCATCCTGATGATTTCATGAAAGAATGAAGCAGGCAAATAGCAAAGCGAGCCAAAAGCCAAGTAGAAGTCAGGAAGTAATGCTAACAGGGACAAATACAGAAACAAGCTTACACAGTTTTGAAAGGAACAAAAGCCTAAAGCCAAAATATTGAAGCAGCAGCTTAGTGAAGAGCAGTAGATGAAGTCAGGATGTAATTCAAGCAGTGGGAAAGAGACACTCTCTGCAACAGCATTTTGTACAAATTGTAGATAATAATGTCAAAAAGAAAATAACCCAATGGAGGAGGTTGCAGTAGGTTATGTGAGATACATGAGAAACTTTATAAACTATGATGAAATAATTCGGGAAAGGAATGTAGAAGTTTTAGAGAATTAAGAAAGACAATTAATTACGAAACTTCACCAACATATACAACTACACTTTCCAGAAATCACCATGTGTTCCAATGGCTTTTCTCTTTCAAATACATTCAAACAATAGGAAAGAGAAATTCGGGGGATGAAAGGGGTGGAAGGGGTGTTTCTCAGTTGTCCCCTCCATCAGCACCAAATCATCTCTAGAACGAAGAAACAATAGTTAAGAACCTGGACAGAGGGAAGACTCCAAAAAGGCACTAGGGTTATGTGACTAGCTGACGGGAGTGTAACAAGCTGACTGTCACCAGTTGAGGTACAAGGAAGGGAACGGAGCAAATCACGACAGCTAACATTTGGCATTTGCAGCGGGAGATCCAGGAGATGTCAGAGACAGAATTACAGATACAATACTAAGCAGGAAGGGAAGAGGTCATATTTGGAGTCATCTGAGGGAGACCAAATGATAGCTGAGGTCAAGAGAGTCTTTAAGGTCCCAAAGAGCAGAAGAATAGGGGAAGTGCAAAGTGACAATGGCCAGGGAAGAAACTCACAGAGTATAGCAATCGATTAAAAGAAAAGGAAAAATATGGTCCTTAGATGTGGGAAATAGAGAGCCATCAATCACCTTTTTGTGAATATTATGAGTAGACAGAAACCATGGAAACCAAAGAGATGAAAGAGGAAGCTGAGGCAACACAAACTGCTTTAGGAGTTGAGATGTAAATATGAAAATTGGCATAGACATAAAGGGAGAACCACAAGGATGATAGATGATACACTGTACAGTAGGTGTTACATATGAGCAGATTAAAATGAGCGCAATTCCTTGTTGTATACGACATTGACGGAGAAATTGGGTTTGACCTATAACAGTTCTCTCCTGCTTTCAAACATTTCAATTTAGTAGCAATAAAAATCCCTATGAATTCGAAAGGCAATTCTAATTGTGCTTATAAATGGTAGTTTCACAAGTATGTATGTTACAATAAACACAAATTAGAGGTAAATTAAACCTTAATTATATCTAGCAAGCTTTATGTCCTAATTAAAAATGGTATTCTAACAATAAAAATGACTTACCACCTGAATTAGCTCTGCCACAATTGTCTAATCTTCCTAAACATTCTTTGTGTGCTCCAGCTCCACACTTAGAACATAAATAGCCTTGATAAAATGTTCCCCTGTAAAATAAAATTAGGTAGTGATACATTAGAGGTGATAAATTCCATGCATAAAGGAAGTAAGAGACATGGCAGACCGTATTAAAAGTCATTTGCTGTTCTGCATAATGATAGTCCTTAAAGGCTCGAGAAAAAGTGACAACTGACAAGCAGCTCATCTGCCTTTTGTCACTACTAACCATTTTAAAAATCACAACCAGATAGTTTTTCTGGACTACTACTAGAATAACAGTCTTCATTTCAATTTACCCCAAAGCAACTTTCACACAGTACAACTGAAATTGTACCATTATGTATCTATCCTACTATAGATCTACAGTTCGTTTCATCTCTATGTGAATTTGCCTAGACACCATGAAGAGTAAGATCCATTTCAAGAGTTGTAAGTTTGAATATATATTTAAGCATTAGGGAGTTTATAGGCTATATTGCAAACATTCTTGACTTGAAATTTGTTCATTAAAAAAGAAAAGATAGATATCCACGTACATTTTAGTTAATATTCAGAGCTGCTAAATAAGGAGTCACTTTCCTTACTCTAAATGTTCTCCAATTCCCCTTAATGAATTGGAATCTAAACTTGAGTCTGAGGAAACTGTTTTATGGCTTTTCTTGTAGGTACAATTCAGTGAAGGGCTAACACAGAAGCAGCTTTTTACTTGTACCCCCAAGCAATTATATGAGTTCCATCTACTGATGTATCTGCTTATTCATCACGCTAGACTTGTTTGTCTCCAAGATTATCCTGACCAGTTTGGAGTGATTATGCATCCTAGTCTAACATGACACCTTCAGCTTCAAAAGAAAATTGGATGTCTCTCACAGAATCCAGGATTGAGCAAGTTAAACCTGAACAAAATGTACAGTAACTGCTATTTACTACAGCAATTTCTAGACTGTTATGATGAAATATATTTTTAATTAAATTCAGAAGCTCAGTATTTTTAAGTATTGGAATACACAAACTTAAAGACAAATAAGTACAAAGTATAAAAATATTTTAATGCAGACTTCCATTTTTATTTTTTTCCTTATTGCTGCACAGGAATGCAAGATTCTCTATATAAAAGTATAGGACATAACATTATCCTTCACTACAGATGCTTCTAAGACAAGGATTCTACCCCCACTTAAAGAATAGGCACTAAGGTTCAGATTTTTTTCCGAAGTATTTACACGTTAGCTTATGTTTGAAGCTTAAAATGACAATCCATTTTAAAAAGTGATTTAGGCACTTTATGAGGCTAAGTCCAGTAGGCTTTCAATACAACTTAGATATATCCAGGTGCGCGTCTATATACCAGAAGGTAGCACTTGGGGATACCAAAGCTATCTTCAAGCAAATTCGCATGCCTATGCAGAACAATGCAGCATCATGCAGGCTGTGTCCTGAAAGCAAGACAGCCGTTTCTCAGCAACAGCAGTTAACGCAGTAACAGAGACGCAGTGACTCAACTATACTGCTTCAATTTCAGAAATCAGCCCTGCCATCTCGAGGTTCAGGATGTCTGCACCACTCTTCATAGTCACTTAGACTTTACTGCATTGAAGGGGGGGAAAAAAAAATAATCTCTGAAAATCCAGGCCAGTCTCACTGATCAGGAGAAAGGTTGCTAAAGGAAAAAATACATGAGGTTATTTTATTCAATGCCTGTCCTTAACAAAAGCACTACCCATACTTCATACCCCATATGCCCTTTCTAAAATTCTGTAGCTACATTTTTTTGGAATATCAACAATACGCAAAATAGATTCATATTATAGAATCATTGAATGGTTGAGGTTGGAAGGGACCTTAAAGCTCATCCAGTTCCAACCCCCCTGCCATGGGCAGGGACACCTTCCCCCAGCCCAGGGTGCTCCCAGCCCCGTCCAACCTGGCCTGGAACCCTGCCAGGGAGGGGGCAGCCACAGCTGCTCTGGGCAACCTGTTATGAGCACCTGAACTGGCCAAATTTTACAAAGCTTTTGTATGTCCAACTCACACTATGAAATTTAGATTCAATATATACCCCTATACCATTGGACATTCCATATTTACAAAAAAAACCCAACAAGTTAGCTCCTAAAAGACAGCTCAACCAATGAGAAACTACAGATGTATAAGCATGTGTCTTTCAGAGGAAGGAGGGAGAAAGCATGGAATTTCTTAGTTTGAGTTAGCCTTAAAAATCCTTGCTCATGAATGCATTAGTTGCCTGCTAGAACTTCTTAACTAGCTTTGCAATATCTATCCTCAATTTGTCTACATATCTCCAGTTGAGAAATGCCTGTTAATGCCTCACAGTTATTTTCTGTCTCACAAAGCAATCTCTCCATAGCAGACATTTATGAGCATCATCTTAATATGATTTTCTGAAACAAATATTCCATTTGTTCTTGTAACTGATGGTCTACAGCAATGAGCCCCATAGAACAGCCATGGTAGTCAAAACTGTACAAAATGGTTGTCATTTACTCTTACATACCCTAACTCCTGTATTAAATAAAGTAATTCTCATAAAAGAATCATGATAAAGCAGCCTTCTGAAAAAATGAGGAGCATCTTGAGGTTTTGAGATTTTTAACAGCACTCCTGTTAATGTTTGGAAATTTCATTATAAAAACTTGCAAATGCAACAAGAAATACTACATATGACTTCATGGCTTGTCTGTCTTGGACAGGTACCCAGCCAGCCATGTGTTTCCACATGCTCCTTTGACTCAGATACTTCACCTGGGGGTGGGGGGAATCTTACCTCAGAAGCATCTGACAGACTTTGCAAGATGTCACGCGACTGAAGGTATGCATTTTGAACTCATGAAAGCTTGTATCCGCATAGTCTGGCCGTATGTTGGACCTAAAAAAAAAAAAAAAAAAAATGAAAATCATCTTTAAACTGATGAATTCTAGAACACAATGCAGCATTCACAGCAGAACATCTGAATCCATGAACAACTAGTTCTGTTTACACTTTAATAATATCTTCACCGAAGGGAACCACAAATATGGACTTTACCACACACCTTGAAATGAAATCTAAATTATTACATTATGCAGACCTGGTCCTTTAAAACACACCCTGTAACTACCTTAGCTGTCACAGTAACTAGAAAACTATACACCAAAACAAACATCATCTGGTTTTAATTCCTGTTCAGGTAACTAGGATCAGTTTATGGAGCTAAAGAACGCTCACTTTTTCATTCTCAAATATTTTGTTATGGGGATGTACAAGGAAGAGCAGTTTGTACGGAGAACTACCACATTTGAAAACATGAGCAGCAGATTTGGGACAGTTAGGTCACAGTTGTGCAGCAATACACTGGATAACACAAGTGAATTCAAAAGCAATTAGAAAATATTTGGTGGGGTTTGGCTAGTCTTTCTTAAATGTGCTTCCCAATGCCTACAGCTGTTGCTACACACACTTATTTTAACAAATAAAATAGAAGATCACTATTCACACTGCTAAGATACCAACACAATATTGGCAGACTTATTTCCAAAGACCATATATATGCACAAAGCACTGGTCCATTACTGTACATGTGTTTTTCTCCCTACTGATCCCTTTTAAAAGCAAGAGTATAATTTTAAAGTGACCCACTCATCATTTTGTTGTACTGGTGACCGTTTGCAGCCTTATGTAAATTTTATTAAGTAATCCATTCAATTTTTTCAGTCATCTTCCCCATTTCCAAGACTGGGGGGGAAATCAGAAATTTTCAATTGATTTATTATCGGGTTTTTTTGTTACTCAATAACATCCCCAAAATATCTTAACGCTATCCAAACCAGTAACACTGAAATGCTAGCTGCATAATTTAATATTAAGCTAGACTGTATCAGACAAGAAATATATATAGAGAGAGAGTAAGGAGTAATGTATTTTTAAGTATTATTTGTATTACAATGCTTAGGATTCCATACATTTCTGGTATTTTTCTAACAAAAACATAGGAATGCATGATGCATAGGAATCAAAATAGGAAAAAAATCCTGAGCATGTGGATGCAAGAATCAGCAACACTCAAAGGAAAGACCAGAAGCTTTTCCAACACACAAAAATACAAATTCATGCATTAAAGTTGAAGATACTTATTAGATAAATTTCATTTCTATGTATTATAAATAACTTCTAGACTATAACATAGACCAACCACGAATTGTAATGAAACATAAATACAAGTAACATGCAAGCATCAATCTCTTCAGGACTGAATGAAAAGGCTTATGAAAAAAACATTTTGAGAATCTCTTTAAGTACCTAATGTCAGAAAGGTCAGTCTTCTAATCTAACTGCTGAAAATTAAACTGTACTTAAAAAGCAAATGGGATTTCGCTTTTATGCTTAGGAACAAGCTTACACTCAGTACTGTTTTAACTAGCTCATTAGTGTCTCTCTCTCTGCTATGATATGCAAGATGTTAATACCACAACTGCTGCTAACTAAGACAGGCATGGATACTACTCATTCACAACAGGAAGGTACAAGTATCAGGATAAAATTCATCTCAAAAAAAGTAAAGAACTTCTTAAACCATAAGAACGGCATATCATTTCGGGGCTGATAACTCTGCAGAGCAAGGCATTTTTACCAAGGGGCTGCTAAAACCTCTTAGGCTACACACAGTTAACTATGGACAATCCTGAAAACTCCCTAGAACAAGTACTTACACTCCCAACAAAAGCTGCTTTTTGTTGACTGTTTGGTTCAGACCAGGACAGCTTGCAAAACCATGTCAAAAGTATCAGCCTAATGTGCCAAGACTCATCAGATTTGAAAGCATATCAAATTAATCCTAACCATCTGATCATTTTTCAAGGAACAAACTAAAAAAAAAAAAAATTCCATTCCTTTAATCAATCATCAAAAATAATAAGCAAAGTGTATGAAAAGAAAAAAAATTATAACCTCACACAGTTGTTTAACACAAGCACATGACTATATAACTTCCTTTTGTACGTAAAAATTCTCTTCCATTCTTCTCTCAGGCTATCTTCCACAAAGATCGAAATACATTAACTACTGAAAGTATACCTCCTATTAACAGAACAAAGATGACACATTGTGTTTATTCTTCTTTATAATAAAAGTATTATTTAAGTTTCTTTATATTTTATGAAGCCATTTAGTTTCATTTTACAGTCAATAGTAATAGTGATTCTTGAGAGGAAAAAAAAAACGTAGTGCTAAAATGGCAAAGAATTAAGCTGTTGCCTCACAGAAGTTCTGTCACAAAACCCTCCACCTTCTTTCAATGTAAGTTGTTTTATTGCACCTGTAGGCTAAACTATTGGATTATAATGTTCTAAACAAGACAGAAGATTTATCCAGTTAAACTGACTTAAAACTTTGGCTTTCTACTGTATGCTAAAATTTGGATACATTTGTCCAACTTGCATAAGTAGAGAAATAGAAGACTGAAACATATAATACAATAAAACTTTGCTATTTAATGCAAACTTCAGTTTATCTTGTCCACTATTACATACAGGAGGAACTAGTTTGGTTCCAAGTACTACCCAGTTCTTAAGGACCATAAAAATGTATCATGAAGAGTGGATCCTTCAGTTTCGTTAAATCCCACCAGGTTTCATTTTAGTGTTTTTAAGATTCTGATGATTACTTCAACAAATTCTCTATCTAAAAATCCATTCTTTCTTCACCACCTACATATCTTTCATATTCTCTACCACTGGACTACCATATAGCTTCATGTATTTCCTTGTTAGCCAAAGGCATGGTAGCCCAAAGACCTTTTAAAATAGCTTTTTTTTAAAAGACATAAGCCTGAGTAGCTCATAAAAGGGCACACAGCAACTATTCATAAACCAAAAGGACCTTTTAAATTTTGCTAGCCCTTCTTTCAACCACTCAAGAGATATATTTTTTCTCCCTTTTTTCCCTAAAGCCACATCACCTCGAAGGAAAAACCTAAAAATCCCAAACAACAAAAGTTTAGTGAATCAAAGGAGATGCCACTTAAGTGCATCACCAATACATTAAATTATTATGGAAGGGACTGGAGCCTCAGCATATTACAGAGGATGCTGGGCAGAAAGAGCAGGAATCAGCAAGAGAAGAATCCTAATCTGCTGCTCAGTCTTTCTTTTTGTGCAGACTTGGAACATACTTCCAAGCAGTTGTCTTAAAATGAATAATGCCATTGCATTCACTGAGAAGAGCAACATTCAAGTTTTCTTTTGTCTCTTCCTTTCTATTTCTAATCATTCATTCTAATTGTCTCAGATTTTAGGTCAAAGAGGAATGGGAAAATGTCTTGTGCTTTACTTCAGTTTACACATCAGTAAAATATATTCTCAAATTTCAGAGTCCATCATATTTTTAAAAGATCAGGATTTTACCCGTTATCTCATGATTCTCTTCATAAATAAATATTCTATTAAAAATATTAATATTTATATACATTGTTATCAGTTGATTCATGTTATACAACAAGGCGTTTTATGACTTCTCAAAAAAAAAAAAAAAAAATCCCCTGAAAAAAAACAGCATTCACATTTATGTAAAAGCAAACTTTCCAGCCATCAATATTCTCATACGGGTAGTAGAACAGAACAGTGCAAAATAAGAAATAATATGCTTACTCTGAAGACAGAGTAAAGTAAAGCACAATATAGGAAGGTAATTAATGATACAAGAAAAAACAGAAACAACTACAACAGAAAAAAAAAAGATAACGTGTATTATCTACTATAAATGTAGAGGTGGAATAAATAAAGTTTTGTAGAAAAATATGTATTGCACAGCTAACTGTGAACAGGAAAACTCTTGCACATTCTAATACCTGATCAGTCATGGTGCATTATGGCAAATCCAGTTCTGCAGTCACATTACATATCACATCAGACAAGTCTGAAATAATCAGAGATAATGCACTGTAGCAGGATATATCAAGTAGCAAGTCTTTTAATGTAAAGTTTGGGACTTTATGCATCTAGGAGTTTGATATTTTAGTTTTCAATATATTGCTTTTCAACAAATCAAAAATAATGCAAAAATAACCTAACTCGATACCATATGAAAGTCTCCAACCTGAGATTAAGCACAATTCATCTGTGACTGTCTAAGCACAAATACCACAAGGACCGTAAGAAATATTTTTCCACAAAACCTTTCACACTGAATAGCATATACTATTTTTTGAGTTTTTAAATAAAGCTGATAACTTCAACAGAAAAACAGCAGTCACAGCATAGCATACAACTTTTCATAGTCATGTCCAACCACATAGAAGCTCTTTTAGTTACAGCATTCAAGCCTTACACTGATACCCTGAGAACACAGACCAGAGCTGCCACAACACAGTAAAGAGAACATTTCATCATTCTCAAATCTTCTTTTCCCTTCTACTTCCCAACCTGTGGGCATGTTCCAAGACACAGAGAAAAACTGAGTATTAGGTCAATATTAAATTAAGCTTAATACTAAGTATATTTTCTTCTTCAGACAGATGATTTCTTGTGGAGTGGGGAAGGAACCCACACATGACTGTTATAAAATTTCAAATATATTGAAGCAATTTCTGTGGCTAGCATTAAGATAATCTAATTCAGGACTTAAACTGGGTTCCCTCCTCATCACAGTCGAACAATCACCAGCTAAGCCCTCTCACAGGCTTCTCAGTCCTCCCCTTCCACAACAACTTCTACTGTGGGGTGCCCCAGGCTCACACAAATTAGAACTTTTATCCATTTTTGACGTCGAACAATCTTGATGAGTGGCCAGAACAGGAAGTCACCCAATAACCAGGAACTTAATCTGAGATAAATAATGACAGGGAACATGTTCCTCATTTTATGGTAAAACTCTGTCTCATTTCTACAAGCAAT